AAGGCGGGGCCCGGGAGGAGGCGGGGCGCGGGAGGAGGCGGGGCGCAGAGGCCTTGACTTCCTCGCCCGTGGCGGTTCAGAGCTGGACCGTGAGGCTGCAGGCGGCTCGCGAGGTAGGTCCCCCGTGGCCCGCAGAGGGTGCGTGGCCCGCAGAGGGTGCGTGGCCCGCAGAGGGTGCGTGGCCCGAGAGAAATGGAATGATTTGCTAGGCGTGAGCCTGTGGTAGGATTCTGGAATCGGGCAGCCTAACAAGCAAGGGTGGACCGCCCAGCCGTCCGCATCCCGAAGTAGGATTCGGGGAGCAGAGTGGGATCTGGGAATAACAAGGTCAGGCAGTGAATGACCTTTCTGTGAGTCCATGATTTAAAGCGAAACCAAAACACTGTTGTGTATTAGTGATTGTAAAAAGTAGTACTTGCCAGAATAGTGAGTGATGCACTAGGGGCGGCGTGGGTCTGGGGGAGGGGGAGGGGACTGGGATACCTTATTGTCTTGCTCCATGGTGGTTACACAGATGTATGTCTATGTAAAAAATCACTGAGCCATACTCTTAAAATTTGTGCACTTTAGGGAAGTTATTCTTAAATTTAGCAAAATTTAAAAATAAAATAAAGCAGAAACATGTTGTTTTGAAACGATGGGGGTCCACCCATGGAGGACTTTGGCGACCAAACTAGCATATCTATTTCCTTGTATAGGTAGAAATACTAGTGGAGCTTGCCTTGCTTGATTCTTATAATTTGCCCTTTTATCTCGTTTTAGAACAAAACTTTTTGTTTCTCCAGCAAAGGACATAGACAAGTTAGGAAGCTGTTAGAAGATCTAAGAAGTGATTAAGTTATATTCGTGGTGTTCACTTATATTTCAAGTTTGTGTGAGAGGGAGGGGTAGTTGTACACTCCTGGTTGCCCTGCTGCTATGATAAAATTATGCTTCCCTTTTGTTTTAAGTAGAGAACTGCTTAATGAAGTCTCAAGCCCAGTTTCCAAAGTTTCAGCTGAACATAGAGATGAGAAAATAACAACTCTCATTTACTTTTCTATACCCAATATCATCAGGTACTTCCCCCTAACCTCTCAAAAAACTCTGAGAGCCTTGAAAAAGTTATTTGTTAACAAATGTTTGCTAAGAAGTGAATTTATATTCCCAATGACAAGGGATGTGCCTTCTTAAAGCCAAATTTTGCAATAAAGGGAACTTTTCCTGAAATACCTACTTTTATGCAATGTTTGCTATTCTCATGAATAAATCATTAAATTAGAACCACCAATAATAGCATACAAATATAATCCAAACTACTATATAGAAATTTTATAAATAAAAAAGCAGGACAGTTGTTAACTACAGAATAAAAAAATTGTACAGCAAAGGAAAAGTAATCATGGAATACTATGTGGCTTAGCTGTGAAAAGCATTTGCTGAGTCACAACAATGTGTACTCCACATATTTAATAAAAAATCTGCTATGTCTGCCGTGGCTGGTTGTCTCAGTGGTTAAAGCTTTAGCCCGCACTTGGGGACTGAAGGGTCTCTGGTTCGATTCTAGTCAAGAGCATGTACCTCTGTTGCAGGCTAGATCCTGGCCCGGTTGGGGCTCCTGTGGGAGGCAACCAGTTGATGTGTCTCTCTTACATCGATGGCTCCCTCTCTCTCTCCCTCTTCCTTCCACTCTCTCTGAAGAGCAATGGAAAAAATATCCTCCGGTGAGGATTAAAAAAAAAAGTCTGCTTAGTCTTTATTTCATTCCTCGATAGAATTGGAGTGCTCTTAAATGTGCACGTTACAAATATTTTCTATTTAGGCATTAGAGACATCTGCTTGTGAGGCAAAGGTATCTACGAAACTATGGATGTTACAAGAACTTCACTTGATATTAAAGAGTACCCCGATACTGAGGTACAGAAAAACCGACAACTAACCTTGGAAGAATGGCAAGAAAAGTGGGTGCAGCGCAAAATTACATTTCATCAGGAACAAGGACACCGGTAAGAAATGTTTAGTAAATAACAGAGAAATGCTCTATTAGAAACTGACTTTGGAAATAGAAATTATAATATAGGCACACATTATTTGACTGATTTTTAGGTGTACATTTAGTTTTTCACATTTTAGGGTCTCTGAAATCAAAACGCATCTGTGGCGTGTCATAGGTGAGTTGGCAATGTTCAGTCTTCCCATGGAGTATAAATAATGGTGTGACTTACAATTGAAGGCATCTTAGACTTATGAAATACAACTTTTTAAGCCCTTGTAGCATGCATGTATTGGACGTGCATAATTATACATACAGCAGATGCTCAAGTGACATGAATGCTTACTTCTCTTTATACTGAAAAGTGATGTTCTGACTTTGCTTTCCAATCGCATGTGTTCAGATGTTAAAATATCATCTATATGGTGGAAGAAAAGTTGAAAGAAATTAGCAAGTGAGCCAGGATGTTGAGCCACATATTAGTAGCAGTAATAGGCTTCGAAGCGATGACAATAAATCATGGGCCAGTGCCAAGTAAAGTGGTCATGTCAGACATTCCTTGTTCCAGGCAGCCGCTCTGCCCTCCCAGGGGATATTATTTTTATTATTATATTATTATTGCATTTGCACTGGGTGGTAGTTGGGGCATCATCCCAGAATCATTGTATGTGTATGGCCTTAGAAGAGCCACATCTCTACAGAGGAATTAACTATAAGAATAACCACAAGTCTTCAGAGTTCCTTCTGAGACCTGAGTACACATTTAGAGAGCTTATCATAAAATGAATGTTGAGAAACTCAGTACGTCCAGAGGCTCCCCGACATGTCACACACAGATATAAACACATACATGTGTGCATTTGGGAGATTAATAATTTTCAAAACATATCAACTAAGGAAAATAAATTTTTATTTTTAATTACTAATCAGAAAAGCCCCAGATTTGAGTCAGACTAACCATTCACTGGTTATTATTGAGCAAGTTACTTAACCTTCCTGTTTCTTCTTGTGTCAGCTGGAGATTATAAAAACTAATGTACCTACTCCGTAAAGTTGTTGGGAATAGTGAGATAATGCAGAAAGAATACTTAACATCATACAATTGTAGTTCTTTCCTCTGTGCATGGGCTAATTTTAAAAAAAAATTATTTTTTTCTCCCCAGGCTATTAAAGAAGCATTTGGATACTTTCCTTAAAGGCGAGAGTGGACTGAGAGTATTTTTCCCTCTTTGTGGAAAAGCAGTTGAGATGAAATGGTAAGAGCAGATAAGCATTAACACACTTTCTTATCTTGATGAAAAGTACTTGTAGCTGAGAGCATTTGTGAAATGGCTGCTATAGCCATGAAATTGAGAACATTTAAACTATATTGTTAGACTTGATCCTAACCAAGTCTGGTTCAAATAACTAAACCAGAAAAAAAAATTACTTTGGAAATTACTTGCAGGAGAAACATTAGCTCTATAAATAGATTGTCTTATTGCCATGTCATAAGTGATACTAACAGTCTAACTCTAGCAGAGGTTTTGAGACAAGATTAGGAAATTGTATGATGAAACAGCCAATTAAATGTGATTGTTAAATATTTTGGGTTTGAAGTCATTTATAATAAAAATATCAGAACTAAACTATTATATGTAATTGCATATAAGTTATTATACTAGAGGGTTTTTTATTTATGTAACTAATTCATAGATTGAGTTCTATACAGATATCAGATATGAATAAACTCTGAGCTGAGGCCCAAAAAGTATTAAAATGTTTAAGACATTTTTTTTGTGTTTTTTTGTTAAGGGCAATATATTCCAATATTATCCAGCCTATACCAGTCTATAATAGGCTATGTTTCGTTTTTCCGCATGTTGAATGGAAATAAAAATTCACGCAGCTGGTTTAGACTCTTTTGTTTATATTTTGTAACTTCAAAAAATGTATGAACAATAAAAAAGAAATATTTCCTGTATGTTAACTTACAAACTTCCTAGGAAACAGGAAAAACAAGTTATTAATATGTTTACTTTAGAACTATAAACAGTTTGTGCTCTGACCACATTGAAAGTGTTTAGTCTTTTTTTTTCTTCTTAATATATCTTTATTGATTTCAGAGAGAGGAAGGGAGGGAGAGGAAGACATAAAAACATCAATGATGAAAGAGTCGTCATTGATCAGCCGCCTCCTGCACGTCCTCGCAACCCGGGCATGTGCCCTGATCAGGAATCGAACCCCTATCTCCTGGATCCTAGGTTGATGCTCAACCACTGAGCCACGCCTGGCCGGGTGAAAATGTGTAGTCTTATGTAGGTAATAGGTACAGTCACTTCTGCTCTGCCTCTTAAAAATGTGAATTTTGTTTAGCTCCATTGATATGTGAGGGAATAATTTGAGTGAGACGTGAATTTTGCATTTGCTTAGTCTGCAAGAAGCATGAGGTGAAGGCAATCACTATGCCCAGTGGAACTAAGCTGTGTGTGAATAGCCAAAACTAACACAGGCACACACCTCAAACCTTTCCCAGTTCACCCTGTGTGCTGTGAGTCACTCCCATCCACAGCTCGAGTTAGGACTTTAAATTTGATTCCCAATAATCCTCTGTCCATCACTTCACAATAACTAGAAGCTGTAGCCCTTCCAATGCCCAGTTCTACAAGTAAACGCCTGGTCTTTCTCAAGATAAAGTGCCGTGTTGTAGTATTTGTATATTATATAATCGTTTAACATGTGTAAAACTGTACCACCATTTCTGTTAGGTTCCTGTGTTTTTGTTTTTAATGTGACACTAACAAAGTTTCTTTTTCTTATGTATGTTTACCCAGTTTATTTCTAAATTTTGTTTAATTATATACTATTGAGAAAATCCTGATTCACAGAGATAAGTTATAGCAAATGTGTAACAGCTTTTTTTATAAACATTATTTTTAAGTTAAGGTAAAATCCTGGCAGAGGCAACTGGTTATCAATATTTGTTTTCAGAATGAGATGGGAGCATCTTTCCTTGGCCATGTGCTTTGTGTCTGATACCATCATACTTGGGTTAGAACCAGACAACTCAGCACAAAGCCTTGAATTTAAATTGTTGAAATCAAGACATCTCATTCTGATTGCTTGGTTTAATTTTTTTTTTTTTAATATGGTTGGGAGGGAGGTGACTGTGCCCCGAAAGGGAGGGTGTCTGCAGTAAGGATTTAGAAATACTTTGAAAGCACGTAACCTCATCAGAAACTGACTTTAGCCACACTCTTGACCTTATAGATGAGTAACCAAAAGATGAAATAAATTCTTGGGAATCAAGCCATGTTGTTTTAATTTGCTACTTTTTTTCCAGCATTCTATGCATCTTAAAAATTTTTCTGGTGAAGTATCTTTGTCAAACAAAATTATTTTTGATGAATTTAAGTGGACTTTGGTGAGCTTGTAGTTCTACTATATATCCTTAAAGATAGTTTTTTTTAAACTCCCAAAGAAAATCTACTCTCCAGATCTAAAAACTCATCTTTGGGGTAAAGAGTTAAGGGTTCAAAGGTTATAACAGTTCATGAGGTCAGAGGGAGCCAGCCTGACACCTGGACCCTGACCATCCATCCACAGCTGACAGGTTCCCACAGGAAGTGTATTTAAATTCTCCTATAGACAATACAGGGCAGAGGAGGGGGTAGGGTTGGGTTATTAAGATACAGAATACTCTGGTTTAAACAATGGTTGTGGGGGAGGCTGCCTGGAGAAAACAAAGTCACTGTTCCCTTTTTTGAAACAAAACTAAAACTTGAAAAAAAAATTTTTGCTCAATAAAAATGGAGTAGAATTTTATTGTCCTTAGCCACAAGGGACCAGTTCCACTGAGAAATGAACAGTGGGGACTGAAATTTTAAAAACATTTGGGGAAGGGGAAAACTGGCTTTCTGCTAGTTGGCAAATGTTCCAGTGGGGTTATGTTTTTGTCGGGATGTGTCATGTGTGTGCACATATGGACCAGCGTCTCTGCTGAGTTTATAAAGTTCAGAAAAGTGGTTGATAAAATCTTGATTTTTGTTAACTTATCTCAATAAAAGCCCACTGGAACTCTGATAGGTAAATAAATAGATGTATAATTGGGATACATTGTGTTAGTTTCAGGTGAACAGCATAATGATTTGATATTTGTAAGTCCTGCAAAATGATCAACAGTGTCTCGTTAACATCTGTCAATATATAGATATAAAATTTTTTTTCTCGTGATGATAACTTTTAAGATCTACTCTTTTAGCAACTTTCAAATACAGTGTGGGGCAAAAGTAGGTTTACAGGTGTGAGTACACAAAACAGTTTATTCTTGTATTATTATTATTATTTGTATTATTTTCCATTGGAACAACTGTAAACCTAATTTTGCCCCACCCTGTATGCAATACAGTATTATTACCAATAGTCCCCATGCTGTACATTACATCCCCATGACTTATTTATTTCATAACTAGAAGTTTTTACTTTTTGACCCCCTTCACCCGTTTTGCCCACCTCCTAACCCCAGCCTCTGGCAACCATCAATCTGTTCTCTGTATCTACGAGTGTATTTGTTTGGTTGTGTTTTTTTTAGATTCCACATATAAATGAGATCATATGGTATTTGTCTTTCTCTTCTGACTTATTTCAATTAGCATAATGCCCTCAAGGTCATCCAGGTTGTCACAAATGGCTACATTTTGTTCTTTTTTATGGCTGAAAAATATTACATTATGACAAAGTTTTTAATGTTGTGCCCAAACCCTTATCTTCTCCCTGAGCCTTGTGATTTTTATTGCATGATTTTGCACAGTGCAGTGATTTTTAGGTAGGCATATGTTGCATTATAGCAAAACAGACTGTATGTGTTTCTTTAATTTGACATGAAATCATTATTATGCCTAGGTATTTTGTGCTACTGGTAGTGTTTTCTCTGGAGTCCAAGATTCCAAGCCTGTGAAGTCTGTAATTATAAAGCTTACCAAGAAAATGCTAGTTATTTGCATGTAGTAATTAAATAAATTTGTGGATAGTGTATATTGTAAGTAAATGAAAATTATAAGATTTTTATAGAAATGAATGCTAGTGTTCTAGAGCCATATGTTCTGGTACCATAGCTATTAGCTGTATGTGGCTATTTAAATTTAAACTAAATCACACTAGCCACGTCTCAAGTGCTCAACAGCCAATGTGGTTGGTGGCTGCTGGTTCGGACAGCATAGGTATAGACACTTCCATCATCACTGAAGGTTGTAATGGACAGAGCTGATTTAGAGAAATTGCAAAGCATTTTTAATCCATAGGATGCTTTTAAATTAGAAACTCTTCTATTCAAATCCATTTGTAGTAAATCAACATTTTAAGGTATAATTTTCCAAAATTTAAGATTTTTCCCAAAGGTCATATAAATCAATTTTTCAGAATTCCATATAACATAGTTTGAGAACATATAGATTCACTTTCTGTGGATCTACATGTTCTGTGAAACCCTACGAACCTGAATTCATGTAAGCCCCTTAAAGTTAAGGAAAATATATGCTCATTGGGCATATCCTTTTATTTAGTACTATATTTGAAATAAAAATTTAAGTGTAAATATGTGGTTTTATGCAGGTTTGCAGATCGAGGACACACTGTAGTCGGTGTGGAAATCAGTGAACTTGGGATACGGGAATTTTTTACAGAGCAGAATCTTTCTTACTCAGAAGAACCAATCATGGAAATTCCTGGAGCCAAAGTATTCAAGGTTTGTTTTGTTTTTGTTAAATAATTATTTCCATACCCCCACAAAAACATTTTCCTCAGTGTGAGTAAGGATACTATTCAGTTCTATATAAGATTCACCTAAACATCATATAGTGTAAGGAGCTAGGGCATAAAAAGATAGATGGATAGCTAAATATAGAAATATATATAAAATCTGAGGTCTAAGCCTATCTGTACTCATGTTTTTGGTTTGGGTTTGTATTATTTTAAAAAAATACATATTTTTATTTATTTTAGAGAGTAAGGGAAAGGGAGAGAGAAACATTCATTCAAGAAAGAAACATCGATTGATTGCCTCCCGTATGCACCCTTACCAGGGATTGAACCCACAACCCGAGTATATGCCCTGACTGGGAACTGAACTGGCAACCTTTAAGTGCATGGGATGACACTCCAATCAACTAAGCCACACAGGCCAGGGCCTGTATGATTTTTTAAATTTACAAGTAGACATTCCTGACAAGCTGTCTTGTGCCACACCCTGCATGAGACATTGAAGAAATAATGGAGCCCCTGCCCTAAAGAATGCTTTAGCTTAGGAGGGAAAAGAGAAATGCAGAGAAAGCTGTTTGTCATACACGGAGCTAAGTGTAAATGGCACAGGCTATTACAAGAACAGAGAGGAAAGTTACCTAATCTAGCCTAGGGGAGCTTCCTGAAGCGTGGACTGATAGGGCTGGGACAGGCAGGGAGTCACGTCCATGGTCTCAGATGCCTTCTGCAGCTGATATCTTCAGCCTGTGCAGCAAGGTTTTAAGTGGAAACGTGTCACGGACAGATTTCCTTTTGAGCCAACAGACCCTTGTGGCGTCAAGGGCAATAAAATTTGAAGGGAAGGAGCCTCCTGGCAAAGAAACCAGATGGGAGGCTGTGCACAGTGGTCTAGGAAAGAGATCTTGAAGACCTGAACTGGGAGAGTGATCGGGGTGCTTAAAGGAACACAGGTAGGTTAAAGCAGTATTTAGGATGCCAAACCGGGAGAATTTAGTGATCAACTGAGAGATCAAGGGGGTGATGAGTTCACATTTCCAGTTTAGGTGACTGGGTGAATGGCAGAGAATAAAGCAAGTTGAAGAGCAGAGAAAATGAGTTTTGTTCCAGAGATGCTGAGTTTAAGTGACCTGTAGAATGGCCAAGGTGTAGCTGGCAAATGGTTTTAAGTCTCTGAAGCCCAGGGCAGCACTTGGGCCAGAAATAATAGATTTGGCAGTTGTGATCCTGTGACCAGAATGACCCAGTGGAACTGCTTCATCAGTTTGGGGTAATAGTGTGGGGATAATAAAGACCACCCAAATGCGAACAAGCAGAGGCTAGCTATTCCGAGGGGGTCGCCGCTTGCATTTGGGAGAGGCTCGGAGTCGGGCAGGAGAGTGGGAAAGCTTTATAGTGAAACACAAAGGCTTCAGGTGCCCTGATTGGAGGCTGTTGGCCTGGGGAAGCCAGAGTGGGCTAATAGAGGGGAGCTTACTATGTGATGGGTTTGGCATGTGTATTTGGCTTTCTCTAGTTGGTCTTGAGTAGGAGGGGTAATAATTCTGGAGGCTGGGAATCACTGATCACTGAGCTTGTGGTTTGGTTTCCCAGGCTGGTTGTGCGTCTATGTTCTCTGCTCTTTTACAGTCTGGCCATTGTTGGAACATTCAGTCTTTCACAAAGTACTCTTTTCTAAATACTGAAATTAATTGCTCAGGACATTAGGAGGCTTGTTAGTACTTTATTTTATAGCTTCCTCCCACCCCTTTTACAATCATCTAAGAATCTCAGGAAATTACTCACTCCAAAGAGGCTAGTCCTGCTTGCGCATGCCTCTTGGAGCAATGGTTCTGAGCTCTAGTGGCACATTTGAAATCACCTGTAGATCTTTTAAAGTTCCCAGTCTGAGGTCTTACCTCAGTCCAAATAAATCAGAATCTCTAGGGGTGGGGCTGGCATCAGTACTATTTAAAATTTCCCAATGTGCAACCACTGTTAAGATTCACTGGCTGTTCTCCCTGCCTCCCAGCCCAGACCTCTCTGGGCTGCCCCCAGAGTACTTCCAAACTGGTCTTCAAAGACCCTCCTGCCTCTATTTATAAACCTCTGTTGGGCCTCATTTCAGAATAAAATCCAAGAGTTTCACACCCTGATGCACCTTTGCTAACTTGCCCTTCACCCCTACCTCCACCCCACCTCCCAGACTTCTCACATGCCCTGGACATGATGGATTCCATGTCATGGTACTCCCCCTGGACTGTACCCCCAGCCCACCCCCCGTAAAGTTAGCAGATGCATCAAAGCTGCCTCTTGTTCAGCCTTTCCTCAAGCAGTTCCCTGTTCTGTCCTCTGTTCCCATAGTTCCGGGCACACAACCAGAACAGTACAGGCCATTCTGCAGCACAGTGTTTCTTTGTACCTATGTCTCTCTGCTCCACCAGGCTGTCCCCACTGTGGTCAGAGACTCTGTCAAATTCACATTACTATCTAGAACCGGGATAGTCCTGTCCATGAGGGGCTCAGAAAATTCATGCTCATTAGATGAATTAATGAAAGAGAAAGGGGAAGTCAGCCCAGCTGCACTCTTCATGAGTAACTTTTAACACACCTGACCTTTCTCTATCAGCCTACCTGGTATTGATTAACCTGTGTACTTAACTTTTGCAGAGTCTAACTCAGGACTCTGCTAAAATAAGCATTGCTAAAATTTAATAAGTTAATGAGGTTAACCTCTCTATTGTTTTCCTCCTTGAGTTGATCCAAAAGACCAGGTTTAAAAAAAATACAATGCCATTTTAAAAAACATTTTCAGTAAAATTTTATTTTCAGTAAAAAAATTATTTGCAGTAAAATTATATCCTTTATATTTAATTATGCATTCTCTCTCCACCACCTTTGCTTTGCCCCTCTTTTCAGGTATCTCCTAGTAAATAGAATTTTTTTCTTGACCTTTTCATTACAGAGCTCTTCAGGGAACGTCTCATTGTACTGTTGCAACCTTTTTGATCTTCCCAGGTAGGACTGAATACTACATCTGCACTTGTAAAAATTACTTGCTGGCAGTGCTGAGGGTGGGGGCTAGATCTTTCCTCTCTCCCATCCACTTGTAGTAGCACCCACAAAGCACTGAGTTGAGTCTGTTCTGCAGTTATTTTTATTGTAGGCTACATGTCCGACAAAAAATCAACGAGGCCAGCAGTCATTGAACACGTCCTATCCCCCAAATATTTTTGTCCTTGGATAGCTTCCAAACCATGGAAAACATTATCATGATCCTAGACGTGTAAGGAAAAGGAAGGGAAAACAAGACAGGTGGCACCTTCACACCTGAGTCTGTAACACCTGGTGAAGTACCAGCATATACCAGGGGGAACACTGTTTGACTTGTTAAACATTTGATTTTTCTTATATTAAATGTTGTATATTTTTTTTCTTTCTTTCTGATAGAGCAAATATCGGCAAATTTGACAGGATTTGGGATAGAGGAGCATTTGTTGCTATTAACCCAGGTGATCGTAAACGGTAATTTGGTTTCTTTAATTTTGTTGGCTTTTCTTTTCTTTCTTCCTGTTTCTTTCCTTCTTAATTTAGTATGCTTTGCTTTTTCTAGATTCTAGAAAATTAGCTAGACTTTTACTGGTTTGAAGTAGGTTTTTGTATTTGGAATTAGAAGACCTAAATCCAATACCATATTTGTCTAAAAGGTATAGGATTTGGCCATAGGGATGTTGGGTACAAGGCTTGTGACTCTGTCACTTCCAAGCTGTGTTGCCTTGATCAAAGTTGCCTTGATCACCTTCTGTAAGTCTCAGTTTACTCCTCTGTAAAATTATAATAGTTCTAATACCACCATCACCTCCTCTAACTTTACCAGGTGATACTTGTTAGGCATTTGCCATGTGCCAGACATTGTTTTAAATACTTTATGTGGAACAACACATTTCATCCACAAAACAACACTGAGGTATATGTTCACATTAGTCCTGAAACCGAACCTGTTCGCTACCCAAGTTTGGCTGCCTGCAGCTATGAAAGCCAAACTCATGAGACAGGTGCTGGTGAGGAAGAAAGTGGTTTATTCAGGTGCCAGTGTCTCAGGAAGATGGGGGAACTCTTGTCCTCAAAAAGCCATCTTGACATCTCTGGTCAAGCCAGCAATTCTTATAGCGAGTTGGTGGGAGTTTGGAAGGGGGAAAATTCTCAGGGGGGTTGCAGATGTGTAGTTTCTCTTGAGAAAAGGAAGTGGGAATAAGGGGAGGGGGATTAAGAGGAGTTAAGCAGCTCCTGCTAAGGCTCACTCCCTCCATTCTGATGTTATCTTTCAAATTGCTTCAACTGGCTATCTGTGGTTTTAATGTGGACACCTGCGATTTTACAGCTTGCGTCAGCATTCCTTACTCCTGGAACAGGCTGTTCAACTGTAACGAGAGCTTGGCTAGAGATGAAAGCACAGGATTCATTTAAGAAAACATAGGGTTGCCCAGCCGATGTGGCTCAGTGGCTGAGCATCAACCTGTGCACCAAGAGGTCCCTGGTTTGATTCCCAGTCAGGGCACATGCCCAGGTAAGGGGTTCAATCCCCAGTAGGCGGCGTGCAGGAGGCAGCCAATTGATGTTTCTCTCATCATCAATGTTGCTATCCCTTCTCCCTTTCCCTGCTTCTCTCTCTAAAAATCAATAAAAACATATTTTAAAAAAAGGAAGAAAACAGTGTTGATTATATACTATGGGAAAACACAGAATCCATAACTTTGATCACTAAATTGGTAATGTTAAGTCATGGTTACATTCCCATTGTACAGATGAGGATACTAAGATCAGAGAGAATAAGTTACTTGTCCAAAGTTAGACAGTTTGTATGTAACAAAACTAAGATTCACACCAGGGAGTTTGGCTTCAAACTCCCTGTATAAAGATTAGCTGCTATCATATTAGACCTTTTGTAATTAATGTTTTTGGTGACCATGCTTAATGTACCCAGCCTTATTAGAAAGTAAAATTAAAATATGAGAAAGCATACGGAGTAAAATATGACCACCCGTACATACTTTCCAACTCAATTGGTACATAAATATTGAATTATTTAGTTGTACGGAGTCAGAAAAGGTTAGAATTCACATCAAAGAAATTAAACTTTTATTTTTTAAAATTGTTTCATAAGTAAGGTTTATTGCCAAATCTAATCTTTTTAAATTAGGCCATGCCACATCTTCTTGATATATATTTTTCTTCAGTGATAATTCATGCTTCTGTTTTCCCTTCTCTTTCTGTCACCACTCCTCCTTTATTTCTTTTCTAAAATCCTCACCTTCCTCACATGCCTAAGTCGTCATTCCCAAAGGAACCATCCTAGCCTTTTGCTTTTCTCTCTTATACTTGCCCTTTGATGACACTTCAGTTCTCCTCTTACTTTCATTCAGTTATTCAACAGATACATATTAAGTTCCTACTATGCTTTAAATATATTCTATGCCATAGGTTGGGGAAATAACTGGACAAATCGTGCATGGTATTTGCCTTTATCATTTTTATATTTCCAGCTCTATTCTCTCCCAAACATGCACATCACATTTCTAGGGTTTGCTTGGCATTTCCTATGTAACATCAGTGTCCTTTATCCACTCAAAGATTCACCTGAGACCTCTCTCTATCCATAAAACACCATGCTTACATACTAAACAATTCTGCTAAATGTCTAACTTTGTAGGTGTTTCCACTCCCTACAGATGTTCATCTGTTTTTAGGTTAATCCCTCTGGGGACTTTGGTTTGTATGACTAAAATCCACAAGGCAGTGGGGAGCAAACTGGAAGTCCCAAAGTTGACTATAAGGGCAGACTGTGCCCTTAGTGTGCCAAGAGCCAAAGCTCCTGCCTCAGAGCTGGACAGTCTGTCTATCTCTGTCTGTCTCTCATGGCCTCTCTACCTTCCTGTGTGGGTGTCCTCTGTCCTTCCACCCTGACCATACACCTTTCTCTGCTTGCTCCATTTCTGTTCCCACATATCTGACTTGTTCACCACCCTCAGCCTCCTCAGCTTCACTCACTGCACAGCACAACAGCTCCAGCTTTCAGTGCCATGACCACAGCCAACTAGCAACTCCTTCTTGGGTCTCTTAATTCAATTTCCCAGTGAAGTAATATGACTGGTCCAAGCCCAGTCCTGGCTCCAGATATCTACTCTGAACCAATCAGAGATGGCTGGGAAGTGGTGTCACCTGCTCCCCAAGCCACCTACTACAAAGAACTTTTCCAATGACACTCATGGTTTATGCCTTACTTGCAGAACTTAAATTTCATACTACCTTGAATTTTTGCCTGTTAGTCTTGTCTCTCTCCAGATAAATAGTGGGAAGAGATTATGTTTTGTATCTCTTACATATACCCCTGGAGATGTCCCAGTCACCCAGGATACTTGTTACACACCAGCATCCCATGTGCCACAGTAAACCTACTGAACCAGTCTGCAGGGATGGAGGTCAAACATGGTTTCTTTGAGCAAGCATCCAGGTGATTTTGATACCAGTCCAGGAAGAGGTATCACTGCCTCAGAGCACGGGGAAGCATGGTGGCCCTTTGGGAAGAATGTTCAAAGTGGGCAGGCCTCTGGGTGCATCAGTCTGGAAAGAGCCTCTGCTCATCTCTTTTGTGAAGTTTTCTGGTCTGAGCAGCTCTGGAAGCAGGCTTCATTTTGACTCCCATCTTTTTTTTTTTTTTAATATGTTTTTTTTTGTTTTTTTTTTTAATTTCAGAGAGAAGAAGGGAGAGGAAGAGAGATATAGAAACATCAATGATGAGAGAGTCACTGATCGGCTGCCTCCTGCACACCCCCTACTGGGGATCGAGCCTGCAACCCAGGCATGTGCCCTGACCAGGAATTGAACCATGATCTCCTAGATCCTAGGTCGATGCTCAATCCCTGAACCATGCCGGCTGGGTTTGACTCCCATCTTTATTACTTCCCAGTTTAGGCAGGTGACATAATTTGTTGAACCCTTTTGCCTTTTAGAATGAGAATTGGCTTCACAAGGTTGTCAGGAGAAATAAGCTGTAATGTAAATGAAAGTAAATGATGAGTTTCACATCCTCTCCAGGCTTTGCCTTTGTAGAGAGTTTTAACACATGCTTCTTTGTGTGCTTTTTGTTTGTTTTTTGTTTTTTTAGCTATGCAGATATATTGCTGTCCCTAATGAGAAAAGGATTTTACTACCTCTTGAGTGTTTTATTTTATGATCCAACTAAACATGCAGGTAAAGTCTTTTTGTTTTCCTAAAATGCCTCGTTTCCTGATTTAATTCTATGACATGAATGGTATTAATTTTCTCCTAATTTATCCCATAGGAAGTATACTGCTTATACACATACATGAAAATAAGTCTATTTTTGACTAATGGAAACTATAAACATATTTCTATCTTCCCACTCGATACCTATTTTTCTCATATCCCATTCCCATTTTGTTCATTCCCACCTAGCTCAAACTATGAAAGAGGGGGAGAAATGGATGGTCCTAGTATAAAAGAAATTTCATGATTAAGAGGAAGAGAGATTTGGTTGCTTTGCTATGGATGGAGTGTAGCTGTGTCATCTGTGCTGGTGGGGATGATTTGGACAGATGCCTATGAGTACACACACAAACACCCTCACAAGGACAGGGTGAAAAGTGGAATGGGGAGGTAGGAGATGTGCAGGAAAATCTCTAAACTATTGCAATTTTTTTAATTTCTGAAATTTTATTAATTTGTTGATTGCATTCTTTTATAACTATCTTTGTTTTGAATTTGTAAAAGTGCTCTTTTTTTCTGGACCTATTTTGATGTTTTTGAACATTAAAGCTTAACCGTTGTCATTGCTGAACTTTCATTTTCAGGAAGATTTGAAAACCAAATATGTAGACTTTTAATTTCTAAAAATTCCCTTTTTGATTTTTTTAATCGAGCTTTTTAAAAAGTACTGTGTTTGGGGGAAGATAGCAGCACTGTGAGAAGCAGAGCACCCTTGCTGCCAGCCACGGACTCAATTTACCTCTAAAATATACTGCGTAACCAGCTTGGAAAAACTAGAGAAATATATCTGAGTAGACATATTTCAAGTAGGGAGCACTGAAGAAACATCATAAGAGTCTGCACCTGTACAACAACTCACATGACGTGGTTGGGGCTGACACACAGTTAGCGAACCTGAGAAGAGAGTCCTCCCAAAGATGGGTCAACAACAATCTAGAGCCAATCACAACAGGAGAGCCCAAAGAACCCACAAAAGGGACACCCACAAAAGGGGCACATCTAGAGCAAAGAGCTCAGAAGTATAAGGAGAACACACCTCTGGGCTCCACTAGACATACACTACAAAATCCCACCTCACAAGACTGGGAGACAGCAAATATATCTAATATATAGATACAAACACTAAGAGCCACCAAAATGGGGAGACAAAGAAACAACTCCCAAACTAAAGAAAGGGAAAAATCACCAGAAAAAGACCTTGATGAGATGGAGTTAAGCAAGTTATCAGAAACAGAGTTCAGAGTAATGGTTATAAAGATGCTCAAGGAAATTAATGAGAACAACAAGACACTTAATGGTAAGGTTGAGGAACTTAGTGAAAACATGAAAAAGATAAATATCATAAGAATCAGGAAGAAAAGAATAATAATATAACTGATATTAAGAATACGCTGGAAAACCCATTTCTGATAAAAACTCTCAGCAAAGTGGGAATAGAGGGATCATACCTCAACATAGTAGAGGCCATATATGACAGACCTACAGCCAACGTCATACTCAATGGGCAAAAACTAAAACCATTTCCCTTAAAATCAGGAACAAGACAAGGATGCCCACTTTCACCACCCTTATTCAACATAGTACTGGAAGTCCTTGCCACAGCCATCAGACAGGAAGAAAACATCAAAGGTATCCAAATTGGAAAGGAGGAAGTAAAACTGATTATTTTGCAGATGACATGATATTGTACATAGAAAACCCCGAAGACTCCATCAAAGTATTACTAGATTTGATAAATGAATTTGGCAAAGTAGCTGGATACAAAATCAACATCTGGAAATCAGTGGCATTCTTATGCACCAACAATGAACTTTCAGAAAGAGAAACTGAAAAACAATACCATTTACCATTGCAACTAAAAAAATAAGATACCTAGGAATAAACTTAACCAAGGATGTAGACCTGTACTCCGAAACTACGTGTCACTGAAAAAAGAAATAGAGGAAGATTTAAACAAGTGGAAGAATATACTATGCTCATGGATTGGAAGACTTAATATAATTAAAATGTCCGTATTACCCAAAGCAATTTATAAATTCAATGCAGTTCCTATTAAAATACCAACAGCATATTTCACAGATCTAGAACAAACATTTTGAAAATTTGTATGGAACCAAAAAAGACCCCGAATAGCTGCAGCCATCTGGAGAAAAAAGAACAGAGTGGGAGGGATCACATTACTGGACTTCAAACTGTACTACAAAGCCATTGTAATCAAAACAGCTTGGTATTGGTACAACACCAGCCATATAGACCAATGGAACAGAACAGAGACCCCAGAAATAGACCCAAGCCATTATGGTCAGTTAATATTTGACAAAGGAGGCAAGAGCATACAATGAAGTAAAGACAGTCTCTTCAATAAGTGGTGCTGGGAAAATTGGACAGCTACATGCAAAAAAATGAAATTAGACCACCAACTTTCACCATACACAAAAATAAACTCAAAATGGATAAAAGACTTAAATGTAAGTTGCAAAACCATAAAAATCCTGGAAGAAAACATAGGCAAAAAAGTCACAGACATCCCACGTAGTGGAATTTTCACTGATACATCTCCTAGGGCAAGAGAAACAAAAGAAAAAATAAACATATGGGACTACATCAAACTAAAAAGCTTCTGCACAGCAAAAGAAAACAGCCTCAAAATACAAAGGAANACAGCCTTAAAAGACAAAGGAACCCTACAGTCTGGGAAAACATATTTTCCAAGGATGCATGTGATAAGTGGCTAATTTCCAAAGTGTACAAAGAGCTCATACTACTCAGCAAGAGGAAGACAAACAATCCAATTAAAAAATGGGCAAAGGACCTGAATAGACACTTCTCCAAAGAGAACATACAGATGGCCAAGAGACGTATGAGAAAATGCTGAACATCACTAATCATCAGAGAGATGCAAATTAAAACCACAATGAGGTATCATTTCACACCTGTCAGAATGGCTGCCATCAACAAATCAACAAATGACATGTGCTGGCGAGGGTGTGGAGAAAGGGGAACCTGGGTACACTGCTGGTGGGAATGCAGACTGGTGCAGCCACTATGGAAAACAGTATGGCGGTTCCTCAAAAAATTAAAAATGGAGCTGCCTTTTGACCCAGTGATCCCACTTCTAGGAATTCAGCCTAAGAAACCTGAAACACCAATCAGAAAGAATATATGCACCCCGATGTTCATAGCAGCACTATTTACCATAGCTAAGATCTGAAAACAGCCCAAGTGCCCATCAGTAGTAGATGAGTGGATAAAAAAGCTGTGGGACATTTACCCCCATGAAATAGTATGCAGCTGTAAAGAAGAAGGATCTCGTACCCTTTGAGACAATGTGGATGGACCTGGAGAACATTATGCTAAGTGAAATAAGCCAGAAAAATAAAGACAAACATCACATGATCTCACTTATATGCAGAATCTAAAGAGCTTAGTAAACTGATAGACAGAAATGATTCAGTGACATGGAAGCATGGATCAGACTGAGGAATCTCAGAGGGATGGTGGGGGATGGGTGAGTGGAGGGGGAGAAATTAACCACAGAACTTACATGCATATATCCACAACCCAAGGATATGGACAACGGTGTGGTGAGGGACTGGGGAGGGGAGTGGGGCGGGTGGAATGGGTCAATGGGGAGAAAAAGGGACATCTGTAATATTTTGAACAAAGAAAACAGAATGGAGGTCAAAACAAAGTGAGTCCTGCCAAGAAGAAGACATCTCCAGCTCGGGAAGTGAGTTCAGAAAGTAGAACACGTGGCCAATTCACTCTCCCCTCTAGCACCTCAGTCCTGGCCGTTTCCAGCAGCAGTGCTCCTGTGTCTGCCGGGAGCTCAGCTTCCAGCTCCCCACTGTCAGATCCCTTGTCCACCTCCGCTTCCTGCATGCAGAGGTCCTATCCTATGACTTATACTCAGGCTTCAGGTTATAGTCAAGGATATGCTGTCTCAAATTCTCACTTTGGGGGCATGGACTGTGGATCTTATTTGACCCCTGTGCATCACCAGCTTCCTGGACCAGGGGCCACACTCAGCCCTATGGGTGCCAACACAGTTACCAGCCATCTCAATCTGTCCCCAGCTTCTCTTTCCACCCAGGGATATGGAGCTTCTAGCTTGGGTTTTAACTCAACCACTGATTGCTTGGATTATAAGGACCAAACTGCCTCCTGGAAGCTTAACTTCAGTGCTGACTGGATTATAAAGATGAGACATCCTCAAGGAAATTCCTGGTTTTGTGAAGACCTGTAGAACCTCTTTTTGTGGATGATTTCAAAATATACTGGGCTAGACATTCCAGTTTTAGCCAGGCATTGGTTAAAAGAGTTAGCTGGGATGATACTCAGACTCATCTTTGGATCAATGTTCCAGGAGGCACAGAAGGAAAAATGAAGGTCCTTAGAGGGGCCCACCAACCCGCAACCTGAAATGAACAAAGCAATCTACCTAAGATCCTGTCATAGTTTTAGATCATTGGTTGTCCTGATTCTCAAAGTGATCAAAAGCATTCTATCCATGTGTAATCAAAGACCACCAAAAATAAAACTAAATTGTGAGGGAAAGAAGGGAAGGACATAGCCTTCTTAAGCAGAGGTGTTCCAATGTTTTAGCAAATCCTTGGTTGAATCTTAGGAATTCAGTGTCCCAAGCTCACTCACATTTCATGACCAACTGTTAGTTGGCACTGAAAACCTTTTCAGGGCTGTGTGAATTGTGCAACTGATTGTCCTAGATGCACTACTTTATTTAAAAAATAATGTTCATAAGGAGTCAATATTACTTTAAGAGACAGTCAGTGTGCGTCTTATATAAATGGTACATCTGTGGTTTTTAATTTGTACTAGACTTCAAAACTGTTATCTCCTGTTATTGTATGCAACCTTGAACTCCACCTCTGCATGGGGTTCTTCTGTGATTAAATAGGTTATAATTATAAGCAAAATTCAGAACTGAGTACTTAACTAAAAAGACTACCTATGGCTGGAGGAGAGCTGCACTGAAACTTTACAACAAAATATCTCTGGACAAGGAGAGTGAGAAGAGAAACAAAGGGACACTGATTCATCTGTAATTTACTGTTGGTAAGCCTAGCAGTAAAGAGACATTGGTCAATTGCTCTGACCCTGATGAGTTTATAAACTGNTCAATTGCTCTGACCCTGATGAATTTATAAACTGAGATCATTGTTGTTTATGCTTGCAGATGTTAACTGGAAAAGTTATATATGCATAAACCTTTTCTTCCTGGATTTGGCAGATATGTATAATTATATTAAAATGGTTCTAGCACACAAAAACAAACAAACAACAAAACTCATTAAAAGATGAGACCTGTTGTTCCTAATGAAGTCTGGGATAATCAGATGGAAATAGAAATTAATGGAGACAGACATCAGCTCTGCTAATCTGATTTCAGTTTCATTCCTCAACAGCAGGCTTAGAAGGGGGGGACCTGTGGGAAGAAAACAGCAAGCTCTGTCTGGGGGTGGAGCCCAGAAGAAAGGGGCAAAAACTAAGTTTCCCTTAAAGTTAATGGCCACATGGGAGGGTGTGTAGAATGTGAGGGAGTGCAGAAGCAGTAGAGAATCAATGCCCCGGAGTATGAAGGAAACCCCAAGGGAATTCATTAATGAACTCCTTTCTGATTTCAGCGTCCCCAAGTCCCATGGCTGGCTCGGCGTCTCATCTCTGCTGGAGATGGGCACCTACCGTACCTTCCCCTCCGTAAGCCAGTCTTCGGGATGAGATGGTAGGAAAGAAGCAGCAAAAGAACCTGTCCCATGCTCAAAGGATAGATGTGCCTAGGCCATTGGAAATGAGCTGAGAAGAGGGCCCTGAGGATTTATTTTTCTTTAGAATTAGATCTCACTGTGTCTCTCTTTTACCTAGGCCCACCATTTTATGTTGCAGATGGGGAACTTGAAAGGCTGTTTGGTAAGTCATAGATGTGCGCTGTAGCTTTTTTTTTTTTTTTGCAAGAGAACATTTATTTGGTAAATCACAGAGGTTGAAAAAGTAATTCCTAGAAGAAATGGGCTTAGGAAACCAGTTATAGAGGCAAAGGAAGGGGTCTTGGTGCTTGGAAGGGAGGATGCTCCTGGTAAGGCCCTG